CCATCCCTCCATCCATCCACCCACCCATCCATCCACCCACCCATCCATCCACCCATCCCTCCATCCATCCATCCCTTCACCCATCCCATCCATCCATCCATCCCTCCACCCATCCATCCACCCATCCATCCCTCCATCCATCGACCCATCCCTCCATCCATCCCTCCACCCATCCCTCCATCCATCCACCCATCCCTCCATCCATCCCTTCACCCATCCCTCCATCCATCCACCCACCCATCCATCCACCCATCCCTCCATCCATCCATCCCTTCACCCATCCCATCCATCCATCCATCCCTCCACCCATCCATCCACCCATCCATCCCTCCATCCATCCACCCATCCCTCCATCCATCCCTTCACCCATCCCTCCATCCATCCACCCACCCATCCATCCACCCATCCCTCCATCCATCGCAGAAAGTTGCGTCTCCCAGCCACACATCGCTGTGTTTCGTTCTTGAATGATTCGCTGTTATTGAACAAATCGGGCGAGTCAATGATTCAATGACTCATTCATAAAGTCAGGCCTTTTCCCAAATGGCACCATAAACAAGCACCTTCTGACACGTAAAATTAATGATTCTATGATTCACTTGTTAAGATTTCAACATTTCATATTTATATATTTATTATAGTATATTCATATAGTTATATTTACTGTAAATCTCAAAACCATTATTTAGGCAATTGTAATTGCAGTGTAAATGGATTTTGATAAATGGTAAGATGGATTTTGTTGATAATGATTTCATTGAATGGATGATCAACAGGTGAACAGTATTTAAATGTGCTGGGACAGAAAGTTGAAGGTGTTCTGGCTGGTGAATTTGGTGCAGAACGGCTCCCGTCACAGATGAAAGACTCGCTCAATCAGTTTTAAAAAATACATTTCGGCAATTGGATAGAGTTTTGGCAATGCAACTGTAACGCAGGATTTAGTGAGCGAATGTGTTTGAGCTCAATTATCCTAATTAAATACCTGTATAGGAGCTATTTTAAGGCATACGATAAATTCTCATTGCATTCAAATTATATATATATATATATATATATATATATATATATATATATATATATATATGTGTGTATATATATATATATATATATATATATATGTGTGCATATGTATATATATATATATATATTAAAGAATGTACTGTCAGTAAATAAATTAAAATGCCTGTAATCTGTCTAATGCATCATTAAAATTCAGACAAAGTGAACCTCACCACCTTGCTCTGAATAATCTGTCAATTTGAATATGTGTGTGGGTGCAAAAGCTGAGTTTCAGGGCCACAGAACGAGCCTGAGACGTTCGTCTGGTGCTGTTAAAGCATGACGCTGCAGGGTCTCTCTCTCTCTCTCTCTCTCTCTCTCTCTCTCTCTCTAAGGGAAAGTCGCAGTCAGAAATTCTGCTGCGAGGCGAGAAAACAATTCCGGCATTTTGGGTTTTTGTTCGGTTCCACTGGACACAATGTGGCTCCTTCCGGGCCAAGCGCTTCTGAAATGGTATGGAAATAAAGACTGGGGTTATTCTCAGTGCTCAGACTGAGGACCGACTTCTGGAAATCTGGTTAACCCCTCGTTGGTGGCGCAGTCGTGCAAGAACATTCATCATGAATGATTCTCAGTGGGATTGATATGGTTTCTTACTGGTCCAAATCAAGATTTCACACTCAAGTCTTTAAACTATCAGCTAACTGAAGCTGTTTATTATACATGATGCACATGCTAAAAGCTAATTGAACACAACTAAATGCCATACTGGATTGAACTAAACTATGCAAGTTGTTCCTTGTCTAAACCTGTTTGTGACAAATCTTGCTTTGTATTTTTGCACATTTTTATTTTATGGAACATAAAAACAAAGTCCTACCCACCAGGGTTATTATATAAGTACTTATACTGTATATAAGTAATAGATTAAAAAAAACCATAAACTAAACAAAATGTAGACATGTTTTCTTGGCTGAAATAAGTTGAAGTTGAAGCATTAAAATTATTAACTGGAAATCAGTTGAAACTGAAACAAAATAATGTAAAACTAAATGGTAATATTTATAACAACAAAAACGAATGAAAATGATAAAAGTGTATAACAAAATAGCTAAAAATGTAAATAAACTAAGAATATAAAATTAATAACTGGAAATAAATAAAAAACCTGAAATAGGATTAAAGCAAAACCTGAAATAGAAAATAATTTAACCTAAATAGTAATACAAATAAATAAAAAAGTAACTTGAAACTTGATAAAAAATTGAAACAGAAAATAATTTCAAACTAATTTTTTTTTAAAAGCGAATACAAATAACAAAAGTGCATCAAAAATGTAGAAAAATAAAAATGAACAGAAAATATAGAAATAAAAGCTAATTCTAAATATAAATAAAACTATAAATAATTGTACAATAGCACTGCGACTCATGAAATATATCTCCTGTGGTTCAGTGAAACCTCTTCCATCACGTCCTCCATCGCCTGGTCTCAGCGCTGATGATAACCGCGAGAGCTGAGTGTTTAGACCAAACATCTGATTCAGGTTTTCAAGGAGCCACTTGTTGAAACTCTGCCTTTGTCTCAGCTCAAACATAGCTGGGATTTAACGTGCAGATGTTGCCATTGTGCTCCCGCTCCACACCGCATGCTTGAGCACACGACAGATGATCACTCGGTCCAGGAACAGATGGCCCGATCTGCGTTAAAACACTCGTCACATTTACACTCGGGATAATGGTGTCTTTTTATTTGCAGACACGTTCGAGAGCCACAGTCATATTCGTGTGTTCGGTTCTCAGACCAGCTGTCAAACACAGAGGAGTGTGTATCGAAACGTTCGGATCAAAACCCAAACGAGGTTCTGATGTTTCATGAAAAAACAAAAACCAGCAGCGAAAAAAACTCTTTTAGGAAGTAACAGAGAACAGTTGGTCTTTTGATGGTTGGTTTTTTTTCTAACTACGAATATTTTGTATTCATTGTAAAACATTTCTTTAGAATGTTCTTTTTTTGTTTTGTTAAGATCGTTCTGAGAACAAAACGCGTGAAGATTTTGAATTCCTGAAAAGAATGTTTGTGCTTAATTCTAATATGCTGATTTTCTGCTCAAGAAACATTTCTGATTATTATCAATGTTGAAAACAGTTCATATTTTTGTGGAAACAGTGATACACCATTTAAAAGTACGTTAGACATTTTTTATTCATTAAGGATGCATTAAATTGATCAAAGGTGACAGTAAATGTCACGGAATGGGTAGATTCAAGATGCGAGGACTCAAGTGCAGAAACAAATGGGTATATTTATTAACCCTCTGGGGTCCTTTGGCCCAAATGGACCCGAAGCATTTAAATACACATTTTTTTTTTTAAATCATAGCTTTATCGGAATAGTCCGAAATTTGGTGACTTTGTTGGTACTTGGTATATGAACACCCAAAAAAATGGGGGACAGGATTTGAATAGTCTAAGACAAGTGGTTGTAAAAAAAATAGTCACACTCAGGACCTTCGGGTCCAAATGGACCCGCATAGGAAATTAATGGGAAATTGGCAAAAATGTGAAAATACAGAGTTTTTTTGTGCGTACAATCTACAAATCAGCCACGATCCAGAAAAAAAGCACACAACGGTGAAGGGGTGAATCTATAAAACATCAAGAGTGCAAAACAGACACATCCACACACACACACAAACACACTTTATACACATACACACTAATAAATTCAGATTACATGGGTTTTGAATTTTTAAAATGCTCAGTTTGTCCACCAGATGGCATCCATCTCATTTCAAAAATTGCTTTCATGAGGCCTAGGCTTGACTCTAAAACAAAATACAGCTTTAAAAAAAAAAAAAAAAAATTCTATTATATTCAATGGGGAAAAAATGGGTCATAATTATTGCATTAATATTAATTATAAATCATTTTTATTTTTGAAATTATCTCAAAACAACAAAAAAGAAAATAATTTTTTTTATAAAAAACAAGCAAAAATTTTTTTTAATGATTTTTAAAAAAGAATATGAATCCTGCCCTTTGGGTCCATTTGGACCCGAACACCCAAAGTTTGACTGTTAAACGAACAACCCCAGAGGGTTAAGTAACAAACAAACACAAACTACTAACAAAACTCCCTCGTGGGGAAAAACGAGAACAATAACAGGCAGGATCAGGAACATGGACAACTTGGACAATGAACCAGCACAGGACTGCAAACACAGGGAGACTAAATAGGGAAACAAACATAAGAGGGTAACGAGGGAAGGCAGGTGGGACATATCAATCAATAATGAGATAAGATGGGCGGGGCTAAACAATAGACAGGAGAGCACATGGCACAAGGAAATGCATGACAAGCCATGTGCTCACAACAAACCAAACTAAACACAAACACATGACAAACCGGGAATGTCAGAGCTCTGTCACCAAACCAGATATAAACCAAACAGAGGTGACAGAAACCCTGACATTAAAGACATTTATAATGTTGCAAAATATTTATTTCAAATAAATGCTGTTCTTTTGAACTTTCTATTTCTCAAAGAATCCTGAAAAATAAAATGTATTACAGTTTCCACAAAAATATGATGTGTTTCCAACACTGATAATAATCATAAATGTTTCTTGAGCATCAGATCCTCATATTAGAGTGATTTCTGAAGGATCATGTGACACTGAAGACTGGAGTAATGATGCTGAAAATACAGCTTTGATCACAGGAATAAATTACACTTTACTGTATATTCACATAGAAAACAGCTGATTTACATTGTAATAATTTTTCACAGTATTTTTGATTAAATAAATATGTTATCCGATATGTTTGCCATATTGCTCAATATTGCTCTCGTTTCTCGCCAAAAAGCCCAAATGATCATATTTGCTTGCTTTTCACTTCAGTTGGAAATTAGGATAAAAATGTGAGAGAAAGTTGATACTTCAGTGAAATGTCCCTGAGAAGGATCCGAATAACCCGTTCCTCTGTCCCTCCAGCGGTGAAGTAAGCACTTGCACAGGAGGCTCAGGATGAGAAGATGGCAGCCATACTGTTTCCACCGGGTCCTGACAGTCTTCACCGGTTCACCCGCGAGTCCCTGGCTGGCATCGAGCAGCGGATCGTCGAGGAGGAGGCCCGCAATGCCAAGGAGTACAAGGAGGACCTGGGAGACGTGGAGACGCCCAAGTCCCGGGCCGACCTGGAGGCCGGGAAACAGCTCCCGCGAATCTTTGGAGACATTCCTTCTGGACTGGTGGGCGTCCCTCTGGAGGACATCGATCCGTTCTACTTCCAGAGCAAGAGAGTGAGTGTATCGTCCAGCCTGATCTCAGGAGAGTGTCTATCGCATGCATTGGGTTTATCGTCAAGTCAGTCAAGTCATCTTTATCTATATAGCGCTTTTAACAATGTAGATTGTTCCAAAGCGGCTTTACAGAGATAATAGGGACTTAAAGGGATAGTTCACCCCAAAATGTAAACTCTGTCAGTAATGACTCTCCCCTCATGTTGTTCAACCCCGTAAGACTTTCCTTCATCTTCAGAACACAAATTAAGATATTTCTGATTAAATCTGAGAGCTGGATCACTCCTCCATAGGCTTCTAAGGGATTGAAAACTTGCCGGCCCAGAAAAGTTATTAAAGACATCGTTAAAATAGTCCGAGTGACTACAGCGGCTCAACCTTAAGTTTATCAAGCGATGAGAATACTTTTTGTGCGCAAAAAACAAACAAAAATAACGACTTTATATATAACGACTGTACGACCCAGAAGCGCTGCGCTGTTACACTACGAGAACTCACTCGAGGCCCACAGAGAAGGACATGAAGAGTTGAATAAAGTCGTTATTTTTGTTTGTTTTTTGCGCACAGAAAGTATTCTCGTCGCTTGATAAACTTAAGGTTGAGCCACTGTCGTCACTCGGACTATTTTAACGATGTCTTTAACTTTATGTGCCGGCAAGTTTCAATCCCTTAGAAGCCTATGGAGGAGTGATCCAGCGCTCAGATTAATCAGAAATATCTTAATTTGTGTTCAGAAGATGAACGAAAGTCTTACGGGGTTGAACAACATGAGGGAGAGTAATTACTGACAGAGTTTACATTTTGGGGTGAACTATCCCTTTAAAGGTGCCCTAGAATGTTTTTTTTTATTATTTTATAATGTTTCCTGGGTTACCCTTATAATGTTAGTATGTTTTTTAGATAAAAAATAATCATAATTTAGAAATAAATGGCATTTTTCCTAGCCTGCTTTTAGCCTCTGATTTGGAACACTGTTTGAAGGGGCGTGTCTGCTGTGGGATTCAGTGTAACCGCGGCCACTGCTGTGATTGGCTGTGGGATTCAGTGTAACCGCGGCCACTGCTGTGATTGGCTGACATGCTTGCATTTGAAATAGCAACGCATTACATGTGAAAGTCTCTCCCGAATACTTTTACTACCGCTATTATACGTTTTTACTATAACAGCTATCGAGATTAACGAATCGTGAGATGTTTTTAAAGTATTTAGATCTATTCCCATCACATAAAATGTTGCCGTGATGAGCATTGAGCAGATGACTGTGTTGATCGCGAGAATGAAGATCTAATCATTGCAAAGCAGTTTCTGCACTCTCTCTAAGGCTTTCCCAATGCAAACACGATGATGTAAACACAGTAAGAGCTTCGTTGTGCAGTGTAACGTGCGTCATTGATTTCATAACGAGTTTGGCAAGTGTCAGATAAACTCGCGCTGTGTGGAAAGATTGTTCTTTGATCGCTTTCTGTATATAATTTGTTCACAATTTTAAATACGATTATTTTCATCCTACTAAAAGAAACGATGTGAAGCTGATATTTTAGTCACTGGCTTGACTTACTGATGCATAAACAGTATTTGAACGATTTTGAGAGAAAGATTACCTGTCTGAAACTTGAAACATCAGAAAGTGTTGCTTGGTAGCTCGATCCGAGGCCAGCTCTGTATTGGCCAAGTTGAGGAAACAGTCGGTGAAATGTTTGGAAATTTCAGAGAAAATAAAATTAACCCATTGTTTCTTCAGAGGCTCAGATGAAGGAACTAAAAAATACTTTTGTGTTCATGTGTACATCCACACTGAGCAACTGCCATGCTTCGGCTGCGCAGTTCCGCCTGGCATTGAGGGCTGGCATTATGCAAATATTTGGAGGCGTACATATTAATGATCCCGACTATTGCGTCACAGTCGGTATTGTGTGGAGAACCGACCGTTTTTCAGGGGTGTTTTTCATAAACGTGAATTAAATGAGAACGCGAAAACAGTCCAGTTTGAGATTCACTCTATGTCATGTCCATGCACTGAACTCTTGTTATTTGACTATACCAAGGTAAATTCAATTTTGAATTATAGGTCACCTTTAAAGCAATTATCGTGCAATTTATACGCCAAAAAAATGAGTTTTTACGTGCGTATGTTGAGGAGAGATTCTCTGATATGATTGTAAAGTGCTTTGGGTGTACAGTAGTACATATGAAAGCGCTATATAAATGCCTCATTCATTCAAATGATACACAGTTTTCCCGTGCATATGATACACACTTGTAATACACACCACTAATCCTACCCAAACGTATAATACATACGGTACCACACCACTACTAAAGATACCCATCCGTATCATATGCACGTAAAAAATTGTTCACGTATAAATTGCATGATAAACACAATGTGTGCTATAGAGACGCATTTGGGGTGACCGGGTTGCCATAGCATAGACCTGTAAATGACATACATGCTATTTTATATATGAGACCCTGGATCTCAAAACCAGTCACAAGGGTCCATTTATACATCAGCTGAAAGTTGAATAAAATAAGCTTTCCATTGATGTATGGTTTGTTATTATAGGACAATATTTGTCCGAAATACAACAATTTGAAAATCTTGTAATCTGAGAGTGCAAATAAATCTAAACATTGAGAAAATCTCCTTTAAATTTGTGCATTTATGTCAGCTTTTGCTGCATTCACTCACAAAAATATATATTTTTTATATATTAACGGTAGGAAATTTACAAAATATTCTTCATGGAACATGATCTTTACTTAACATCCTAATGATTTTTGGCATAAAGAAAAATCGATATTTGTGACCCCATACAATGTATATTTTGCTATTGCCACAAGTATACCAGTGTGACATGTGACCTGGTTTCGTGCTCAAGGGTCACATGTGGATTTGCTGTTGAGACCCAGCAAGCAATTTTGCGTTTAAAAGACGTCTAATAGCCGTCCAAACACAGCCTAGGCTGAAACAAGGCAAAATTTGGGCTGTCGATACAGTATAGACTAGAAAAAAATAGACTTTATGCAAAAATCAAAGGCAACAAACTTTCGATGATGCCTTAAAATGAATTTCATAAAAGAAAAAAGGGCGTATAGCATTAGAACAACAGCAGGGTTTCTAAGAAGAAGCTTGTGTACCGCGGTACGAAAGGTTTAAGTTTTAGTAAAACAAAGCGATGTCCGTCAGTAAAGGGCAGCGGATGTGTGTGCTACAGGAATAGCAGACGGATGAATAGCATGAGTCAGTGAGCCGCTGTTAATGCGACCGCTGCTGCGCTGGCTTCTCTCGCACACGCTTCGGCTTTCACAAGCAGACAAATCTCCATTTCTATGGATTTCAGCTGAAAGTTTTGACTCCAAACTCCTTTTAAATGCCATTTTCAGTGGGAAAATGGGCCCTGTTTAGACTTTTATAAGCCGTTAAGAAAGATGAATTGACACTAAACAGGACTCCTTCGATTAAAGGCCCGAAAGTTTCGCCTCTCCCTTTGATATTTTTGCAAACCCACAGAGAACAGAAATCATTATAAATAAGTTTTGTATTTCTTAAGCCCCATTCGCACAGGAATAGTTGTGCACATGACCTTACATAACAGCCTCATGTAGACATTAATACTCAGATGTCAACGATAATTTAATAACTGTAACTAAAATATATATTGCCTATATCGTGATCGTGAGCTTTTTTACTGCCTTACTTTTTTCCTCATTGTCACGATCAAGTTTCGTTTTCATTGTTCCCATCTTCTTGTTGCTAGTTGGTTTCCATGGTTACTGATTAAGTTGCGCACCTGTTTCTGGTTTCGTTGATTATCCTGTGTGTATTTAAGCCCTCAGTTCTTTCTGTTCATTGTTCGGTGTCCGTTTATGTGGTTTACTTTTGTTTCTTGTTTAATCATTCGTCATTGTGCGATTATTACTACAGCAACACAGCATCACAAAAAATCGTCATAAATGAGATATCATTCAAACACTCAAAAACCATTTTGAAATTGAACATTGCGTTACTATGGAACGGCCACTTTAAAACTTTTTAGTGGCTCAATTTTTGTGTTATCAACACGACTTGGTTAGACAAATGGCGCCGATTTTCTAGCAATTTTAGATGCCAAATTCTTTGAAAAAAAGTCATTTATTTATATAACACTTTATACTTTTTCAACAACAGTTTCAATGCTGCAAAGTTAAACTCAATTTGTTCAAAACTCAATTCAGTTCAAATGTTGCTTCTCATCGAACAGTGTCAGTGCAATTAAATTACTTATATTACTCATTCTAAATATTAATCAATTAACCCTTTTTAAACCATTAAATCACCATAAACAGGAAAATTGTCATTATTATTAAGAAAAGTGTCATTATTCAGCTCAATTCAGTTCAGTTCAGTTCCCATAATAGTCTTGATGTTGCAAATTAATTTAAACTTTGTTTAGATTATTAAACAAATTAAATTCAGCTATAAAGCAGCTCTATACAAGACAATAGAGTTATTCTTCAGCTCAGTGAATGTTGAAAGGTTCAAATTTAGTTTGAACTGAACTTTGTTCAAAACTCAATTCAGTTATTCGATAATTCTTCTTATCTGATAGTGTCAGTGCTGTTAATTGCTAATATTACGAAATAATAATTCTTTTAAACCCATAAAATCACCATCAGTACGACTTGTGCACTACATTAGAAGTCTTCTGA